GCCCCGGACAGCCGGGGGTGGCACCGCGGGGCCGGGGTCAGTCCGGACCCGGCCAGGGCTGCCCCCGCCCCTTCTGGGCCGCGCATCCTTTCCTGCCCGCCCCCAACTCGCCAGCTGCCGGACGGGAAACTGGCAGGAAACGCGCGCTCGAGAAGGTCGGGCACACATGCGGGTGAGGGCCGCCGGCGCAGGTCCCTCACCACACACCCGCGCACGCCTCAGCCCACGGCTCGGACTCCAGGTTTTAAGGGCGAACCCGCAGTCTCCCCACACTTCAAATTCAATCACTTCTACCCCAGAGTCATTTTTTTATAAGACCACAAGAAAAATCATTCAAGTGACATATGTATGGGCTGTAAATGTGATTTGCCAAACGTCCCGGAAGGGTTGAAAAAGAACACAGTTCAGGTAAACTGCACCTTTGGGTTTTTTCCTCCTGGTGCCAGGTTTGGTGAATTAAAAATAGCTATACACTTAAAAAGTAAACTATGCAAATGTTAAAGTTCTTTCTTTAAAGGAGAGGACAGACTTCCAAATCATCAAGCTGTGCTTGTGGACTAATGTGCAGTGCAGTTTATCATCTGCTTTCTTTTATCCCTAAGCATATCATTTAACACACAAAACTCATGTATGGTGATTGAGATCAGCGCTCAGCCCTTGGAAAGACACACAGGGAACTCTGGGGAGGTGACGCGTGTTCTACTGGTTAGGGGATGGATTACACGGGTTTGTTCTGCTGTGTCGTGAACTTCTCCACTTCATTTGTTTGTAAATTTCACCACTATTTTATTAACGTTTAAAAATACGCCAATTTGCAGATCCTTGAACTGATCACTTCATTTTTTTAAAAGGTAGCAGTTATTTGCTTACCTATCATAGAAACCAATGTTCTAAATTCTTACCTTTCAAATAGTTAACGCTAGCAGTACTAATCAAGTCCTTCCAATCCAAGTTTCAAAGGTAGCTTTAAGATCATCCAATCTCTGCTAGTAGAATTATCTAATCTAACATCCATACATCAACTCAAGTTAGGATTCCTGTTCAAATATATGCCACTTAGCCCCTAGCACTTCCAGCTGTGAAAGCAAAAGCTCAGGGGAGAGGGCTTTAGAAGTAGACAAAGCTGGCTTAAATTCCAGTGCTGCCTAAAATGCTAATCTACTCTTCTCTAAACCATAAAAAGTATAACAGTTGAAAGTTTTGTACTGGTTAAGTGAAACATGTAGAAAGCAACTTACTATATATGTTAATACTTGAAAGATACGTTCTTCCCACAAACCCGCTCTTGGGGGGCTGGTAGGCGGACCTAAACTCAGGTGCAAGTGTTTCTATTGATGTACTTGGTCATTTTTTAATTAACAGCTTTATTGAGATGCTTGGTCATTTTTGTCTTAATTAAAATTATTGCCAAATGTATTAAACAATTAAGATGCAGTTTAATCCTCTCTGAAATAAAGACAACATAAAAAGAGGAGAAAATGCTTTCATAAGAATGGTATGGTCTTGTCAGTACGGAACTAAAACCAGCTCTCAAGACACTTTTAATTCTTGCAGGATCAACTGGTGCAGTGATCTGTGCAAATTATGCAAAACTGTACAAAATAACTCCCTATCCACACATGGAAAGATCTTTTGTCTCCCAAGGTAATTCTCTGAGATGAAAGCCATAACTGACTCATGATTTGCTATCAGGACACAAGGAAGAACATGAATGACCCGATTTCTGCACTGTAATAATAGCCTGTAAAAGCAAGACCATGCAGGTGCATAACCTGACTTTTTGGGAGTGCTGCCCACATCACCGATGTGGCATGTCTTGGAATCTGAGTAAGACAGCACAGATCTCAGGCAGGCTGAACCATGACAAATCTGATCGAGAGGCTTCTTGGCTAAAACTGTAAAGGGACACAGATCTGGGTCTGTCAACTCAAGACAGCACTATAATGCAGGTCACTCAAATCAGTACTCAACTAGGAGTCTACCATGGAGTCACTGACCCAGGACAGTGAGGGTTGAGAGGTGTTGTGAGTTTTTGAACTTCAAAGCAGCCCACTTTCTGTTTCCTTATAGTATCAAGACAATAATTAAGAATAAGACAAAATATAATCATGTGACCAGAAAATAACTCTTAGGGTTCAGCAACAGTAGAGCTATGCACTAGAAGGATTTTTCTAGAGCTGGCAGGACTGAGCAAAGTATGACTTGGATTATGTGCTTGAGTGGGAAGAAGTAATAAAAGGAAGTCTGAACAGACAAGGGGACGTGTCCAGGAACAGGAAGGGGCACACCTCATACTGTTCCCTTGACCCGATGCCTTCCGTTTAGGGGCACTCTTGTTTTTTGTGAGCCCACTTTACCAGGCCCTTCCTCTTCCACAGAGGCCCAAAAGCCCCACACCAAAACTCAAGGCTCCTCCATGCTCCACAGCGTGGCTCCCATGCCCCTGCCAGGGCAGCTACTCTCCCCTCAACGAAAGCTGCCGCCTGTCTGTCTCCCCAGTGAGGCCCCCTTCTTAAGGGCAGGCTGTATCTCACTCACCTTTGTATCTTCCCCAGTGCCCACAGTCCCACAGAGTGCCTCACAAAGTCTGTATGTAGTACCAAGAGTGGTTTTATAAACTGAATGAGAACTAAAGTAGGATAACGAGAAGCCACAGTATAAACAGGTATATACATCAAAGTTCATTCACTGAGTAAACCTTTATTGAATGTTTATTGTGTGCCAGGCCCTGTTCTAGGCTCAGGATATATTCATGAACAAAGAAAAGAACGCTGCCCTTGTGGAGCTCACACTCTAGATGGGGACGGCATGGGCAATACATTTACATAAATCCAAACATACCTACTGGCAAAAAGACACACATTTAAACAGTGTAATTATTAATACTAGAAAAAGTCTATTGGTGGTATGCAGTTTTATTATACATTGTACTTACTATCTGCATGATATATTCAGACCTACATAGCACTCTACAGGGACTAAAACCATTAGAATTTTATTGGCAATTTAAGGGATTTTAAAGGATCGCTTTGAGCGTGCTTACTTTTGTCTTCAGCAGTCTTTAAAACCTAACCACCTTACAAGCTGTGACTCCACTGCACCAAAGTGAAGGCTCTCTGACTGCTGGGCAGATGAGAACCGGTCTAAGGATCTGAGTGTGACACCAGCACGATGGATTTATGTCTGGTCCACCCAGTCTGGTAACTGAGAGCAAGACATAGCACATCCACAATCAGTCCACAGTGGAACTCACATGAAGAATTTCAAGAAAAAAAGAAGGAAAGCAACAGTCCATGCCTCGTTTCCCATTTTTTAAAGGTAACTAAAACAGTAAGACCTCAAAGTCATAAATATTTATAGGCAATGCTTAATTATAAAATTTAGAAGAAAAAATTCTTAACATTCTGACTTCGTATGACTAAATGTCTATCATTTTCATATATTTTTCAGAACATTTTTAAAAATACCAAGATAAGAAAATCATTTTAAAGTTTTGAAATAATTTTACTTTATATACATTAACACCAATCACTTAACCCTGAAAACAACCTTCACTCATACAATGTAAAAAAATTATCATAGATAATGACTAGAAATATTCCATTACCATAAAGCTACAAAGAGATTCACGCTCTTAAGAGCAAAGATAGGAAAACAAAAATAATTATACCAGTGAGAAGCACCAAGGCAGAACTTTTTTGCACTTCTAGCGCCAGATTGGTTGACCTCTACCAATAAAGGACCAAAATAACACCTCATTTGGCAAAAAGTAAAAATACAGAGGTCGGGAAACAGTGAAGAATGCCCACTTTGAAAATACAATAATAAAAATCAGTCATACTTGTTTTTAAGTGATGTGACATTTGCAAAGTATATTCATGTCATTTTTCTTCCTCTTTAGTTCACTTCATACAACTCAGATTACCCCATTTTTGTTAATCTGTTGCCACACTAAAGCAAATAAATACACTAAATAATGTAGGTTTACCATAATGAATCCAAACCATAAGAGCTAGATCCAGCAGCTCCAACAACTTTACTTGCAACTATTTCAATTGGTGAAACAAGATCCTTTATCTCTTTCAATTTTAAGAAGCTCAGACAGATGAGATATCATGGTTGTGTGCATTTGTACATGTGTGTGCAAGTCTGCCAGAGCCATGTGACAGTGTGTGCAACTCAGAGAGAGGCAAGACACACACAATGGTCCAACTAACCCCTAAAAGATGTGAGCATCCAGACACTTACTGAATTACCCCCCAAATAAACCTGAGGCTGAGCAATGAGGTAATTAAGGGATCTGTCACCACAATGAACAGTCGGTGACAGGTTTAGAAAATGAAGACTAAAGCAGAATGCCTTGGCACCAGCATTCCTTCAACACCGGAGGACACAAAGCACAAACAGCCACTGTTCAGGAAGGGACAGGGTTGAGATCCCCTGGATCCGTGGCTGAGGACCTCAGCACGTCCCCGGAGGGCATCTACACCCTCCCACTGAAAACCTGCTTAGAGGTCCCCGAGTGTGCACCTGGGCATCCCTCCCCTGGCCCCAGGGCTCCCCCGGTGAGACACTGTCCCTTCTGGAGGCTTGGCGAAAACCACTGCCTGCTTTCCACTCCCAAATCAGTCTTGGAAAGTTTCCTTCTGTCCTGTGGGTCCCTGAGTATGAGTAATGCCAACACGCCGTGCAGTGGAGAGCAGTAACACACGAAGTCAGGCAGTCCACTTTAAAATTCAAGCAATCTGCATGTGATATTGGCCAGTTTATATCTCTCGCTAACAATTTTTACCGAGCTAGTTTCTCTACACAACTTACAATGTATAGGGCAAAGAAGAAAAAAATATTGCTAGAATATGACAGAAAGATTTTTAAAGTCAGAGTTAAGACTCTTCTGAAGAGAAGAAGGAGCTGTATTACTTTTCTATTTTCCATTTCTCATCCTTGGCTTCCAGGTAAAAGAGCACTAAGGGTCCTGTGAAATTAGTCAAAGGTTCCTTCTGCTCTTCAACTTACACAACAATCCTCGGGAATTCCTAGCTGTCTGGCTCCCAAATCTGTAATCATAACTCTGGGCATGTCTATACAGCTAAAGAGCTAATTTACCTTCAAAATCCACAGCATTTTTAAAACAAAATTATACAGTTGCATTCTTTAAATGCCAGCCATGAAACCATCACTAAAAAATAAATAAAAAGAAACTAGTTGAGTGTATATACATTAAGTCTTTTTTTGCTACGCAGGGGAGAGCCCAGGGCCTTATGTGCGGTTCCTTATCACTGAGCTACACCCCAGCCCGCTCCTTTCCTAAAGGCGTGTTATTTACTCTGCTGGAGACATGCTGAGGACTGCCTAGCAAAGCCCTTCGCTGAGCCTTGTACAGCACTCTGTAGTTTGATACTCTGTTCCAGTGCTGTTGGGCTCTTGAACTACCCTGTAACAACCACCTCCTTCATGTACCTCCTGCCCCAAACAAGCATATCTGACAAAGAGAAAGACATTTAATTCCATGAATACCAAAACAATCATCTAACCTGTCCAAACATGCAGCTGCTTCTCTTTTTCTTTCCCCAAGAACCTAAATTCTCTATAAAATGGTTAGATATGAGAATCAAGTTAAAACCCACCATTTTTCAAGTTAAACTCTGAAGGTTCTGCACAGATATAGCATGATTTTACATTCATACTGGCAATCAGTTTTCTGTATTTTCTTTACATATCCTAAATAAGCTTTCAAGACCATAATATTTAGGGAGTGATTTTAAGTTTTATATTATACTGTGAAGTTCTACTGAATTCTTAGTTTATCAGGATTTAACAATTTGCTCAATGTCATACAACTGCTATACAATGCGAGTGTATGGACACAACATATTTCAAATACAAAACCCTTAGCTCTGTGTCATAAATAAATTTGGGTAAAACCGTAAGCCTTCCACTGAGTCGTCTCGGCAAAGATGGCCCATCTTTTCTGCAAGCAGCAACCTAGAAATGAAGAGAAGAAAACATAACCATCTGCCCATCCAGAAACACAAACAGAATTTCTCATGAAGCACAAGGTCCTTACGTACCTTTCTTTAGCCAGGAGAACAGACATTCCCACGAGCTTAGCAAACTCTTCTGACGTTAGGGATCCCTTTTCTGAAACCTAACAGATACACAAAGCAGAAATCAATATGACTAACTTAGATACGTAAGTACCAACCATAAGCAGAATATATACCAATATACGTAGGAAACAATTTGTTGAATTTTCTACTAAACTTCAAAGAATATTCACTTCACTATAGAACTAAACCTTAACTAATGCTTAGTTCTACAAAAATTGAAGGACCTCCAACAAATAGAGCAGAAGCTAAAATATCACATGAATCCTTTTATAATGTCACAAAGCAATGTACTAAGGGCTAGAAAGGATACTGAATGCTCTGAAAAGGAACATTTAACAAGTTCTAATTGAGTGTATTACATGCTCCAGTAAAGGACCCAAATATATATATACAGTTTAATTTTAAACATGTGGTAGAAATATCTATAGTCTTTACATTTTCATCTGGCTTAAAATGAGGCATAGAATAAATGTGAAGTATTCAAACTGTACAAGCTCAGCATAGAAGCTGTAACAGTAATATTTTAGGTATCTTAACAAGTAATATTGGCAGTTTGGCTAGTAAATTACATCTAAACTACAGTTATTTACTTGTTGAAGCACCTATGTCACAGAACAACTTCTGGTTTTATAATGCTGCTAATGTAGGTGTTAAAGAAGAAGTTTAATTCTGTGTAGCACTCTGATTAACAAATTAAAAACCTGTTCTAACACAGAGCTTGCAGAAAAAAGCAAACACCTCACTAATTCTCACTCTCACTCTCCTTACTGCTAAGATGGTAAGGGGGTCAATAAGCTTCCAAAAGCTTTCTAAGGTAGGACTGTGACTAATCCGTATTCACTGTGAATAACGAGCCATTTTTAATTTAGTCTCTGAGTGTTACTTTGCAGGGAAGTTAAATCTAAGCGGAAATCCTGCTTTCTGAGCGGCTAAGCTCTTGGGTGTTGGTGGCAAGCTCTAACGACTGGAGGAAACCAGGTTCACATACCGTCTCCAGGGCTGAGGCCACCATTTCCTCTTCCTTGTGGGACTGAAGCTCAATAACCATGACTCCACTGTCAAAAACCCGGAGCCTGAAAAGCAGGGATATGAGAACAGACTCGTGAATCATCTAGAATATCCAACCATTGAGATGAACCGCACGCTTTCTAACTTTCTTTTACATCCAGGCCTGAGAACAATGTTAACTGCAAAAAAAACATTTAAAACAAAATGACCAAAAGTAAAGAACTAAAGGGGTCATGAGTTAACAGATACTGTAATACAATTATGAACTAAAATCTACAGCAATAAAACAGACGCACGTTTGCTTTTTAACCTAGAAGGAAAATATACTTTAGAGCTAAACACCTGCCTATCTGACTCTCCAGACACTGACACAAAGCACTGGAGAAGTTATTCGGACTGGGAGGAGTGCATATTTTCATCTCTCCACAAATCACAGGAGTCCGACTACCAGCCCCCTTAGGACACGGCCCTGACAGGATGGAAGCCGTGATAACAGAAGATTTGTGGTGCCAGGAGAACTCTGGTCATACATAACGTAATTTTAAGAGGACAATATTTTGGCTTTGCCACGCAGGGAGGTAAACTTGGCCGAACTTTCCAGTCTACCCCGTGCACAGCATGATTATAGATGGCAGACTGCCTGTGGAGGCTCCCGTACCTGAGAGGTAATTTCAGCGCTTCCAGCATCTTGCACGCGTTCACTAGATCTTCTGGTGACAGCAACTAATGGGGAAAAGAAATCCAGTTTACACTGCAGATTAATAATGTGAAGCTACACAACTGTAAAGGCCACAAAAACAGAATAAGAAATTTTAAAAATTATCACTTATTAAGGATTTTAGGTGCCTTAATCATTAAAATGCAAAAAGGATTAACAGAAGAGCTAAAGATTTCAATTCATTACAGCACTGCTATTCACAGAAATGTAATACAGGCTGTTTATAGGACTTTAAATTTTCCAACAGCCACATAAAAGGGCTGGAAGTGTGGCTCAGTGGCACAGCATTTGCCTAGCATGGGCAAGGCCCTGAATTCAATCTCCAGTACCACAACAAAAAAAATTCTTTTGAGATACTGACATTTAACTTCATTTTGTACTAAGTACATTTTGTACTAACTCTAGTGCGTTACAAGTTCACAACTGTCCCAGATAACTAACAAGTAGCTATCCTTTTGGGCAATGGTGGGGACAAGCATAGCTCACACAGGACAGCTCCAGAGCCTGCCAGGCCTAGGTCTAAATTCCTGTTAACGCACTGTTTCCAGGCACGGCCTTTGTCAAGTTATTTAACCGAAACCTCAACCTGCCCATCCCCAAACTATCCCTGAGACAGGGATGATGAAGTAGGTTCCTCACTGAATTCCGGGGGTGCGGCGGGCTAAGTGAGGTAACGTAAGGAATGCCTGAGGGATAATAAGAACTTGGCAATGGCAGCTGTGATATTACTCAAATAAAGACAGAACGGAGGCTGAACCTGAGACTGGGGTGAGGCTGGAAAGGCACGTGTGAGTCATTTGCACCGAGGTGACTGTGGACACCCCAACACTGCATCTGACTGCTGGGGCTCAGAGTACTCGACAGAGCCCTGGAGACTACGGCCATGAGTGTGACGGGGCAGCGAGAGCTCACAGCCACGGACGATACAAGCAAGGCGGCCTTCCCTCCACACCACCTACATGGCAATCTGTCCAGCCAAGTTAATGTAAGAGCGAACTACTGTGGAGAGCAGGCTTCCTGCACAGCTTCACTCACCGCAACACAAATGCAGAGTACCAGAGCTGAAAGGTATCGCTCAGCCCAAACCCTGACCCCAGAGGGAAGGAACTGAGTCCCTGACACGTTACGCAAGCTGCCCAAGGCCACTCAACACACCACTGACAAACCGAGGACACAACCTACCTCTTAGATCCCAAAGCAGTATTCTTTCACCGCCCCACACTGCTTCTCAAAATAGCTGCGACATTCACAACCCTTCCTCAAATTGTACTCACGTCGGGGGAATTTATATTACATCAAGAAAGTCTATATTTAGCGGACAGTATCTAAGTATGGTGTTCTTACTTCCATTCCTCGAGCTCGGTTCACCAAACAGTACACCTCTGTGAGTGACATTATTCCCCCTCGCTCCTGTTAAAATACGAGAAACAAGTGAAATTAGCACCAGCAAGCATTTCTTAGCAAAAATCATAGGCACAGCAAAGTCACAAATCAGAAAATTTCTTACATTTTTAAAAGTACATTTATACAGTTTTCTTGTGTACAAGGTGTGACTGAAAAATACAATGAGTGTTTAAATTTAAGAGCTTCTTACAGTAAGACAGGTTGTCATTAATCTGCCTTGAAATACTCCTCTTTGAACACTCTTATCCCGTTGTTCTCGCCACTTTCTGAAGCACTTCTGGAAGCTTTCTTTTATGAACACCTTTAGTTACACTATCATGGCTACTTTAATGTCCTGAACCAATTTAATACATTTACCTTCCATGGTCATTTTGACTTTGGGGAAGAGCCACAAATCACACAGCACCAGATCCAATGAATAACGTAGATGCTGTAAACGACAGATCAATGAAGTGTTCAAAAATGTTTAAATTAAAAAATGTATTACCGTAAAAGACACTTGCCATCAACGCCTTCAAAATACCCCCCCTTCAAACACAACGATCCCATTTTTCTTGCTAATGTGTCTTTTACTGTAATAAGTTTATAAAATTTAAACATTCAACGTATTTTTCAATCACCCTTATCTCTCAAAATTTCAGTATTTGGACAAATGTCATTATTAGTGTTTTAGCATTTACTTAAATGAAAAGGGGCTCTACATCATGTTTTAAAAGTACATTTAAATGTTTTAAGTTATTCCAGCTGATAAATAAAGATTAATGATGATACCATTCTGCAACCACTAATGAACAGACCTAGGTAGCAACTGTCAACAGCCGCTAACATTACAGAAAAAAGGGACAATCACCATTATCCACCTCCTGATGGAAGTGGACAGCACCCTCATGAAATACTCTTGCCAGAAAAAAAAGATTATAATGGTTTACAGGCAATACATAGGATGGGAAGCACACTGAAATACTACATAGACAACCAAACTATGAGACACTCTATAGGTCAACCTATTACGTTTCTTCAAAATAAATTTTCGGAGTTGGGAGAAAGAAAGGGGAAGGGAAAATCCATGAAACAAAAAAAAAAGTAAACCTAAAAATAAGACACAGAGCAACCCACTGTAATGTTGAAAAGACAAACTATAAGACAAAACGTAAACACTAACTAGGTATTTGGTGACACTAAGGATTTAAATTTGGGGGGATATGAAATGAAATTACATTTGTGTGTGAAGGAGTTTTTAGCATTACAGTTATTGAAATATTTGTAGATAAAATGATGTGATGTCTGGGATTTGCTTTAAAATAATTTCAAATGGACACTGGTTTATAGACAAAGCTAGGTAACAGATATACGGAGATTTATTATGTTATTTATTTTGGCATTTGCTTGAA